TGCACACATTGAAAATCCTAAGTTAAAAAAAGTTTATCCAAAGAACAAAGGAAACCTACAAAGAAGTCATAATTATGCATTTTGTTTGGATATAAGATTAGATATTAATGTATTAAAGGAATATGCCCTTCATTTAAAGTTGTCTCAATAATACTTTAAAATCATTGCAATAATTGTAGTTTAGTCAGTTCAGATTTATAGTGTTCATATTTTCTCCCTAAGCAGAAAAAACCAACTTGCTGGTTAGTCTGGGTACAAAATTGTTTTTGTTTTTCCCTCTCACGCCACAAAATTTTTTTCTAATCTTTAATGCACACTGGAATTTATGACTATAGATTATATTAATTTTTTAAAAGTTAAACTTTAGATGCTTATGAATAAAAAGATGGCACGATTGTTCTTTTAAAATATTCTCTATTTTAATAACATCCAAAGGGGATGATGAAGTGATAGAAATTTTGGATATTTTTTTTTGTTAATGTCATTATTTTTCTACCTCAAGCCTCTTGATTTGGTTTCTAAACAGAGATGCTGCTGCCCTTTATAATTCACAATTTGGCACTCATCTAAGTTGTGAATCATGCTCAATTTAAAAGAGAAGTTATCTGTTGTAGAATTGTTCTTTCAGCAAATCTTTTCTAGAAGATCTTTATCATTTTGAAACTTGAGTCCTTTAGATATTACCTACATTTCTTTAAATAGAATTGGCATACTATTTCAATTTTTTGGCTTAGACATGACTAAAAGCTCAAGCTTATTTTTTAAAAAAGATTCTTCATTGTAATACAACAAGAGGAGTAAAAACCATTCAGATTTCATTAAAAGGAAATGTCTTTTACAAAAGAAAAATGCTGTTTCCCCCATATAACAAAATATTTTTAGCTGATAAATATTTGCTGAAGAAAATGCCATTGTTTAGAAAACATAATACATGGTTGTCTTACTACATTGTGATGAATAATAAAAAAGCAGGAGGTTTATACTGACAACTTTATCTTATTATAGTTAGAGTATCTTAAAGGATTAGAGTATATTATATTGTGGTATGCATATAAAATGTTAATCTAAAATAATGCTTAATATTATAGTTGACATAGGGAAATAGATGTATACATGCAAATCAAGTCTTTTAGCTTAAAATGATAAAAGCTACAGAGGGAAAGGTTGGAATTGCTAGTCTTGCAACATAACTTGGCTATTTATCTTATTTATTGATTTAGAGATAGACAGCCTAGAGTGGCTTTGAACTTGCAACCATCCTGACTCAGTCTCCCAAGTGCTGGGATTACAGACATGCAGCACCATGCTTGACTATTTTTTTAAGTGCTGGGGATGGAACCCAGGGCCTCACAGGGCTAAACAAGTGCTCTACCACTGACCTATACTCTTAACTCTCCATTTTGACTTTCTACAAAGACTTAGATAAGTGCTTCTGATGATTTTTCCAATAATATTTTATATTTTTGCTGATAAATTATGATGTTTAATTACATTTTATTATAATTTGTAGTTCCCTATTTCATCTGTTAGCAAAGGCAGGAGACAGCATCTACTTCTTCACCATTGCTTTCTCACCAGTAGGCAAATATTTTTAAAATAAATTAATAAAATTGCTGGGGAAACTGGGCTTGCCAATCTTATAATAGACACAAAGCTCAAAAATGGTAAGTAACTTCCCTAACATAATGTGATTAACACCACACTTAATAATCACAGCATTTATTAAGTATAGAAGCAAGTATTGGAATACTAGTTTTCTACTACCCAATCAAGTGCTCTTTCTAATACTGATAATGAAAGATGATTTAAGATTCTACAATATTTCTGATGAAAAGAAAATTCATTTGCATATGTATTTCAGCCCATGACAGACTGTGCATGCTTAATCTGACACATGGAAAGGAGATTTCTATGGGATTGCCTAATAAGAACTAAATTATAAATATTACAAACAAGATAGAGTAAAAATAAGAACATTTTGAATATTGTGTTGAATATCATTCCTAAGACACCTCACACCTAAGACTGGACATGTTCAAAAATCAAAATCATTATGCCTTTTCTTTTACCCTGACAATTTGCTATTTCTCTTTTATTCCTATTTACTTATTTGTGGCACTGAGGTTTTGCTAGGCAGATGCTCTCCCACTTGAGTCATGGCCCTAGCCCTCTTTTATTCCTTAATACAGTTAACAATATTATCATCTACCCAATATTTTAAATTAGAAACTTGAGGATAATTTCTGACATCTATTCTGCTAAAAAAAATGAAAATAAATAATTCATCTAGAAGAGAGCTAAGTGCTAAAATCTATGGCATTGAAATTTGACTTAGCAGAGAGAAAGGAATAAAAAGCAATATTTGAAAAAGAACTGAGTTACCGAATTAACACTATTCATGTAGTAACGAAGATGTTGATTAGTGACAAGTGTCTTTAAAATGGTCATTACAGCTGAATACAATTCCTAAAACTTCCACCGGGCACAAAAAACTTAATTTTGTTTTGTATTGAGACTTCATGCCACTAGTGAAATGTCAGTTCTTAAGAGAGGTCTTCTTTGATCACCCAGTCTAAGTGAGGTCACCCAGTCTAAGTGAGGTTCACCTGCTATACATTTTTCTCTGATATTGCCATATATTTCAATTTATGATTATTAAATTATTATGAAATTACAATCATTAAAATTGTTGTTCTACTTATTTTAACACACCTTTGACTGAAGTGTAAACTCCATGGAGTATGAGGCTGTATCTGTGACTAATACTAGAGCATTTATGAGTACCTAGTTGGGATTCAACTAAGCAGTCATATTATTTATTAGACTTTTTTAGAAAGATTAATTTTGACTGTGTTTTCTCCTTTTAAAATATCAGTATTCAAACTGGTTTCTTTTTATTTCATTAGTATTTTAATTCAGCATTTAAAATTCATTTTTAAAATTACAGAAAAGTAACAATTTTACCTTTAAAGTATACAAACTAGTGCTGGTAAAAATTACCTAAAAGGCACAGAATTTTATTCCTAGATAAAAATGCAGTGCTTTATTTGAATTCATTGTCAGTATGGTCATTTAAGTGTTAACTAAGAAAAAATTATAAAGAAAAGTCACTTGCCCCTTAAAGTTTTTAAATAAGAATATTAATTTGATAGATGTTAAACTTTTACTTTTAGGATTTTACTCTTGTGAATTTAGAAGTTCAAAAATTTTAAATTGTATTTGACATCTTCTTTATACCTAAAATGTAATTACAAAGTTTTAATGTGCTCAAGAGCTACTGAATAGATTAAGTTTAGCTTAAAATATTTTCCAAAAAATATTTATAATTATAGGATATTTATTATTAAGGAAAAAATACTGTATCTTAGGTAGTTCTATATTTCCAACATTTAGATCTTTTTTATTTTTGGCAGTAGTGGGGTTTGAATTCTGGGCCTCACTCTTACTAGGGAAGTGCTCTACCACATGAACCACTTCACCAGCCCTTTTTTGTGCTGGGTATTTTCCAAATATGGTCTCATAAATTATTGCCTGGGCTGGCTTCAAATCTCAATTCTCATGATGTCTGCCTCCTGAGTAGCTATGAATACAGGCATGAGCCATAGGTGCCTGGCCCAAAATTTAGATTGTAACACTTGGTGAACTAAACATCTTATAGTGGACCTAACTTTTAGTTTTAATTTAAAACCAAATCAAAAACTAACTTTATAAAAAAAATGCCTCACTTACATAGTTGGAACTTAATGCAAACTATAGGATCTTTTTGTTTTAATAAGATAAGAACACAGAAAGATTTTTCTATGCAATTCAAGTTTTGAGAATTCATTTTTATTTATTCAAAAATTCAGATAACTGGTGATCTAATGGCATTAACATATACTTGAGAATTAAAATGTTCTTATAGTTTTTCTTCATTGAAGATTTATAACTGCAATTTTTAAATGATAAAATTAATGTGTTATTTTTGATACATATCTATATTGCAACAGTAACATTGAAGATTTTGCTAAGAAGGTTGTATCATGTAAAATAAACTGTATTATACACATTAAGAACTGTCTGAGATCTCTTTCAAGTAAAATGCAATTATAACACATAAAACTGGTAGAAAATTTGAAATTGAGAAAGACAGCTATATAGGTCCTTAAATTTGATGACGGGGAAAAAGGCCCAATTTGAAAAATTAACTGTCATAGCCTTAGGATACATTTAGTGTGTAACCTAATATCCAACACCATGACTTATTATATAAGAATGTTATTGTTAGCTTTTTGATACCAGTATTGGTTCTATCACATACGGAACTTGAAGGCACAAATGACTAACTTAACCAGAACAGGGACATTCCAGCAGGAAGTAGTCACAGCAGTAATTAAGTTTGCTCATTACTTTATCATACAAACAAAGATGTGAGGCAGAAAAATAAATGTCTACCTTTTCCTCACCATGACTCAGTGATAGATTATTACAAAAAATAAATACTAAGAAACGCCTTCCCTCCCCCAAAGGTTGGCATTAAAACTTTCTTTCTAATAAATTTAGATTTGTTTCCACATATTAGGCAGCAACATTCCAAGATGAATATGTTGTAAAAAATTTGGAATGATAATATAGCAGAGAGCTACCCCAGACTGAACAAGTTTTAAAAAACAATCCATTTTGTAACAGTACTTTGCCATTTCTTGGCCAAAAATACATTCATCCTCAGCATAAACAAATAACTTTACAACTATACTGGTGAGTATTCTCAAAAATAACAGGTTTACCACAAAATAATGGGAGTATGGTGCTGTAGGAGGAGGCATATTGCATGAAATTTCTATTGTCTTACTCTTGCCCTAATATGACAATTTGTGAAACAATGGGTAGTAATTACCTTACATTTTGTTCATTTTTCATAGTATCCTGCATGCAACCCAACCATGACAACCAGGGGGAAATATTGGTTAGTTTTCTCAAATTTCATAGTACAGCAAGTATAAGGTGACAACTGTACCTACTTTTGGTGTTGGGCAGGAAGCTGTAGAGAGACGAGATGTAGCCTGAGCACGAGGCGATTCTGACGGAGTAGTGCTGAGGGAGGCTGTGTCTCGTGGGAGCACCTGAACACCACGAGAAATAATGGAATCTGGAATCTGAACAAGGAGAACGAGTATAGTTTAATATTATGAAATTGTTAATAGAATGTAAAATAATTATTTACTTTTATTTAAAAAATTTTTTGATTCTTTGCTGCTCACATTTCACATAGTTGGTGACGTTTATTATTATGTATTAATATATATAACAATTTGGGATAGGATAGATTTAAAATATTTTCCCTGATAAACAACATCTCAAGAAACATTTTTAAATGAGAAGCAGTATAGCATCACAGTTAGGAGTAAGGTAGGATGCGGGGACCTTTTCTTTTTCCTTCCTTCCTTCCTCCCTCCCTTCCTCCTACCCTCCCTCCCTCCCTTCCTTCCCTTCTCTTCCTCCATCCCTTCCTTCCCTTCCTATTACACTTTGGAACTGGAGATTTGAACACGGGGCTGCATACATGTTAGGTATGCACCCTACTACTGAACTACATCCCCATTCCTGTGTAAAAGACTTTAAACATACATTGTAAAAGAAGAAGCAATTAACAAATATCACTAACTATATGCAAAGAAGAAACAGCCAGACTTTGTTATGAGAAAGGTACTTCTGATATTTTTGCAGTACCTCCATCTCATAAAGGACCTAAAAATATTTCCACAAAATCTCATTCATTTGGATTCTAACCAACGTCCTTAATATCCATGATATTGTACCGATTTCAGTTTGGGCAATATCATATGATACATGAGCAATATTGATATAAGCAGGATGAAAAACTAAGAATTCTGAAAAAGTCTCCATTTGCAAGTATATTGGATCACTGAGTTGGGATATTTTCAAGAAATAGAGATAGTCTAATTTAGAAGAGCTGTTTGTTGACACTTTTGTTAATAAAAGGTTATATATTCGATAAAAGCTCTAAGAAAACTAGGAATAGGAGGAAAGTACCTCAACATTATGAAAGCTATATATGACAAACCTACAGCCAGCATTATATTTAACGGAGAAAAATTAAAACCATTTCTTCTAAAATCAGGAACTAGACAAGGATGCCCACTATCTCTACTCCTATTCAACATAGTACTGGAATTCCTAGCCAGAGCAATTAGGCAAGAAGAAGGAATAAAAGGGAATACAAATAGGTAAAGAAACTGTCAAATACCCTTATTTGCAATGAAATGATCCTATAACCTTAAAGACCCAAAAACTCTAACTCAGAAGCTCCTAGACAGCCATCAATACTATAGCAAAGGTAGCAGGATATAAAATCAACATAGAAAAATCATTAGCATTTCTATACACTAATAATGAACGTAACTGAAAAGAATAACATGAAAAACAATTCCCATTTACAATAGCCCTCAAAAAAAATCAATACCTAGGTGAAAACCTAACAAAAGGATGTGAAAGACCTCTACAAGGAAAAGCTATAAACTTCTGAAGAAAGAAGATGAGGAAGACTATAGAAAAGTGGAGAGATCTCCCATGCTCATGGATTGGTAGAATCAACATAGTAAAAAATGTCCAAAACAGACATGAAGACCAGGAACAGAATAGAGGACCCAGATATGAAGCCACACAACTATAACCAACTTGTCTTTGACAAAGGTGCTAAAAATATACGATGGAGAAAAGACAGCCTCTTCAACAAAAACTACTGGGAAAACTGGTTAGCAGTCTGCAAAAAAACTGAAACTAGATCCATGTATATCACCCTATACCAATATTAACTCAAAATGGATCAAGGATCTTAATATCAGACACAAACTCTAAAGTTGATACAGGAAAGAGTAGGAAATACTCTGGAATTAGTAGGTATAGGTAAGAACTTTCTCAATGGAACCTCAGCAGCACAGCAACTAAGACATAGCATAGATAAATGGGATTTCATAAAACTAAAAAGCTTCTGTTCAACAAAAGAAATGGTCTCTAAACTGAAGAGAATACCCACAGAGTGGGAGAAAATAATTTGCCAGCTACACATCAAAGGACTGATAACCAGAATATATAGGGAACTTAAAAAACTAAATTCTCCCAAACTAATGAACCAATAAAGAAAATGGGCAAGTGAACTAAAAGAACTTTCTCAAAAGAAGAAATTCAAATGGCCAAAAAAACACATGAAAAAATGCTCACCATCTCTAGCAATAAAGGAATGCAAATTAAAACACAAGATTCCACTCAAGATTCACCTCAACCCCTGTTAGAATAGCCATCATTAGCACACCACCAACAACAGGTGTTGGCGAGGATGCGGGGAAAAGGAACCCTCTTACACCTGTTGGTGGGAATGTAAACTAGTACAACCACTCTGGAAAAAAATTGGAGCTACTTAAAAAGCTAAACATTGATCTTACCATTTGATCCAGCAATACCTACTCTTGGGATATACCCAAAAGAACTGTGACCAGGTTTACTCCAGAGGCACCTGCAGCACACCATGTTTTATTGCGCACATATTCACAATAGCCAAGTTATGCAAAAAGCCAATGATGCCCACCACTGAACGAATGGATCAAGCAAATGTGGTATTTATACACAATGGAATTTTATGCACGCCATGAAGAAGAATGAAAATGTTAATCAATTCTTGCTGGTAAATGGATGGAATTGGAGAACATCAAATTCTGAGTGAGGTTAGCCTGGCCACCAGACCAAAAATCCGTATGTTCTCTCCTCATAATGCGGATAATTAATCGATGGGGCAAACACAACAAAGGGGATTGGAAACTGTAGAGCACATGAAAGAAGCGAGAGACACACGGGAGGTGTGGGATAGGTAAGAATATAAAAATTAGCTAGCTTTTTTCCGCCTTAACACAGAGAAATAAAGCAGATACTTAAAAGCAACTGAGGCCAAATAGGAAAAGGGGACCAGGGAACCTAGAGAACAGGTGAGCTAAAAAGAATTTAACCTGAAGGTAACACCCACACGCACAGGAATTAATTGTGAAGTCCAACTCCCTGTATAGCTATCCTTATTCCAACCAGTGAGGGGGGGTTGGGGGCAGGGGGGAGAAATGACCCAAGCATTGTATGCACATATGAATAATAAAACAATAAAAAAATGAGTAAATGGGGCAAGGAGGAGGTTGAGGTAGAGAGACAGAGGGGTGATCTAACCAATGTACAATATAAGTCTATTTGGAATTGTCACAATGAATCGTCCCTGTATAACGAATATACCCTAATAAAAATTAAAAAAAAACTATACCCATATTTATCACTAGCTTTTTTAAAAAAAAGCAATTTGTTGGCTCATGTATCAGAAAAGTCAAGAGGTATGTATAGTTTAGCAGGGGTTGAGTGAATGGTTCAAACAACATGATTAGAACCCATTATCTCTATCTTCCATTTTTTAGGATTACTTCTTTACTACTGGTTACATTGTGGTAGGACTTTTTTTCATAATTCCAAGGTGATAATTCTTGGGGTTGTATATTTCTTCATTCATATTCAGAAAGGAACAGACAATTTGTATCTGCAATAGTTCAAATAAAATCTAAGAGATGAGACTCACTGGCTGTGTCTGGCTTGAGTCATGGGTTCCTTGAACTAATACCATGGCTAGATGAAACGGAAATGCTATTTATATTAAGCCAATCCATCTAAACTACAGGACTATGAAATGTAGCAAGGTGTTAGCAAGATAGTGTTAGTAAGAGGAAATGGGAAATGACTGCTGGAGAGATAGCTAACGAAGTTTGATAATAAGTAGTAATCAGATCACTAGCAACTGACCATTGAAGAGTTCGCATATTGATCAGGTTTCAATTTCTTGATTATAAGAAGTAGAAAACTGAGTTAGGAATAAAAGTAATAAAAAGTAATGAAAAGAGAAACTCTACCTGCATTGTAAATGCTTTATGTACTGGAACAATCTATTCACATTTTAGAAGAACCAAAATAAATCTAAGACCTTCCTTTTCTTTATTTCCTGTTACCTATTTCTTCCTTTTCATTCTTTCCTATGGATTCCAGGTACAAACACATTTGCTCTTACATTTACCAAAGAAAGTACAAAAAATGTGGGATTACTTACAAAACTGAACATCTCTTAAAATGACTGATACCACTGTTTACAAAGGATTACTAAAAATGCCAGTTAATAAATGAGAAGTTTCTGGGTGATGCCTTGAGGATATCTACTTAGGATAATTCAACAGCTCTTCTCAACTAGCTCCTCCAGAGAATTAAGCCCTAATAATTTAAGGCATCTATCATATGTGATAATTAACTTCTCTCCTATGCATCTCAAATGGTATTAGTTATGTACAATCCTTTGAGGAGCTGAAGATAAGTTTATCAAATAATTTTTGGTATAGTAATCTGAAGTTCAGAATGTGATAACTTGTAATCATGATTATGAAAATAGAAATCCAATTATATTAGCTTGACAACCCAAGATGATTATTATTACAATTATAGTTGCTTTTTGAGATAAGAGCATAAAAAAACTTCTTCAAGTTTGGTACATTTTGTAATATTTATAACAAAGCTGTATATGAAAAATTCATATACAAATTATCAATTAGAAATTCACTGACTAAGGTATGACTTGTGGATATAAGCGTTAATGTCTCCATTTGGTATTGTATTTCCTAAGACACTGCTGATGGTAAACTGTTGCATTTTTTTCCCTGCAAATTTTCAGTGTTTTTTTTTTTCTTTCTGAGTACTTAAGGTAAATTTCACTTTTTTAATGTGTTGCTTCTCATTTTATAACATTATCTAGATTCAGATTGATTTTTTTTTGTAGCCATGGTCTAAATTATCACTGCTTAATAATTTATACTTAACAATCTATTCTTTTCTAACCTAGTAATTTTTTTTTTGAGTCAGGGTTTCTTTTCATAGCTCAGGCTGGCCTTTATCTCACCACGTAGCCCTACCGAATTTAAACTTGTGATCCTTCTGCTTCAGCCTCCCAAGTGCGGTATTAAAGATATGAACCACCACGCCTGGCTTAATCTGCAATTTTTGCAAGTTATCATTCAGCCAGTGACTGAAATAACAAATACATATCTATAAAAGTTTGTGCTTAAAGATTATAAATCACATAATTCCCACCAAGATTCAACTCTGTAAATGGTCGTAATGAGAACACAGTGAAGGAAAATAAAATGAGATGCAAAATCATAAGAAAAAAATGAAAAAGCAAGATTAATACAAATTAAATATTAGCTTCACCAATCTATCTAGATTTTAAGACTCAAGTGATTTTCTTAAGCGGTTATCTTAATTAAGCCAGACAATTTATTTAAAGCTATCCAAGGAACAACAGTAACAAGAAAAAATTCTGGAATAACATATTTCTTAAAAGTCATAAATGATGAAATCTTAATGATAGCAGAGCTCTTTATACACAAGAGAAATTATTAAATTTCTTGATGGAATATGCTCAGTGGTACTTACACTTTCCCAACAAAGCACTGCTGGACACCCATCACAATAAAACAACTCATTTTCCAAGATATGGTATACCCACCTCCAAAGAGGGGAAGTAGGATGTTTATCTGCAAAATCATTAATGTTAAAGCCTTTGTCTTACCCGGTTATCTGCACTGCCTGTTGCATGATGGGAATAACTGATGAGACCAGGCAGGGGCTGCCCACCATGTGCCATGATAACAGCAGGACTGGTGTAGAATGGATGCTTCTAATGTATAACACATAACAATTGTGAATATACTGATAGGAAAACATGACACTATACAAGCAAAATGACTAAAAGGAAAAAAGTGAAAACAAATAAACAATGAAATGCCATATTTTCTAAATGGAGAATGACACAATCAGCTTTGATTATAAAAGTTAAAGGCTTTTTCCTTTAAATAAAAATCAATGGTGGTTTTTACTCTTTTAACTCAAGAGTAAAAGAGAAAGAACATATAATGATTTTGAAATGCACCTATTTTATCAGTTGTGAATTAAAAAATCATATATAACTTAAATTCTTTCTAGTGTTAAGTAAGAACTCAATGGGTCACTGAATGATCTGGAGACAGAATCATTCAGTCTTCAGTAAAGGAATCATTTACTGGCTGCCTGAATGGGCACATGGAAAGGATTTCTCTATGATTCTAATGTATATGGTCTCAATAGAAGATTTACTATTCTCATAGTCAGAATATGTGGGTAATCTATAAAACACTGTAAGTTATTTCATATAGTAATTAAATTTTTAACCTATATGTTATCTATCAATGAGCAATTATTCCTCAAAGTGATATGCAACTTTCTGAAGATATTAAAACAAAGCAGGTGGTTTTTACTAGGTGTGGATTAATGTGAATCATGTTCTGTGACTTCAAGATTACCAAATTCACTTAAATATCTCATGGTACTATATTTATTTCTAGAACTGTCCAAAGAGAATTTATAATACTTTGGTATTATCCTAATAATATTTATTACTTTATTAAAGTAAAATGTAAACATATTTATTCCTTATTTATACCACTAGGGTAATTTGTGCCAAGTAATAATTTGAATCAGTGCTTAGTTAAGGAAAATTCAACAGCTACTTAAAGGACTTGTCACTGAAATTGTAAAAAAATAATCTTAACTAATTTCTTGAATTATCTAAGGCCTTTTAACTTTAGTTTTTTTGTTCCCTTAAGAATTTGTGAAGTTTTGATGTTCTGAATATATAAACATTATATATTTTATATGTCCACAAAATGTCAACTTTAAAGAGTTCTTAAATATCACATTGCTTAACATTACAGCTATAACTTCAACACGTAATAGTAGTATCTTTAGTGTCTCCAAGCACAGAACAAACTTCAGTGCTTACAAGCAATCTATATTAGGAAAGAGAACAGTGATAGAACTTCAAGGATATTCTAGTGTCTTTTTTAGGATGCCCTAAAGAGGTATTAACCTTATGGAGGAATGAAATGGAAAGAGGAATGAAATCAGTAATTCACCTGAGAGACCTCTGAGTCTTTCTCTGAGTCTCTCTACAGGCTTACCTTTGCAGCAATGGCTGCTGCAGTTATATGTGATGAAGAACTGTCTTCTGTTGAAGCAACACCACTATCTTTCTTTTCTTCTTCCTCTTCCTCACATTGAACCCCTTTGTCTTCTGTCTGTTTATGGGGGCTGGTTGTGGGAGGAGGAGAAAGAGGAGGTGGTGGTGAAGGTAAATCTTCAAGTTCATCATGCACCTCCTTTACTTTTACAATGGCATCACGTAAAAGGTCAATGGCGTGAGGTAGAGCTGGCAGTATAAACTGAAAGCATTCCTGTCCAGAAGAGGAAGAAAAGAAAATGAAGATGAAGCCTCTTTCTAGATGCATAAAATGCTGGCAATCAAACTGACTCTTGATTTTGGATCTGCACTTTCCCCTATTAATCTCAAGAATGAATCATATTTAATGAATTACCTTTGCAATGTAAAATATGAAGCAAGCATGGCATATAATAATCTCCACAAAGAAGAGAACTAGAGCCTTATATGAGCACACACTAATGGTATTGGTGGTAATAGGGTTTGAATTCAGGGCCTCACCTCAATTGTGTTGGTAGTAATAGGGTTTGAATTCAGTGAGGCCCTGAATTACTCAAACATGTGAGCCATGCCTCCAGCCCTTTTCATGCCTTAGTTTGTTTTTTACATAGTCTTGTACTTTTGCCCAAGCAAGACTTGGTCTAAAATCCTTCTACCTGTAGGCCTTCTGAGTAGCTGATATTTTATGCATGTACCACATAACTGGCCCAACTGTTTTTTCTTTTTCTTTCTTTCTTTTCTTTTGGTGGTACCTGGGATTGAACTCAGGGCCTCACATTTGCTAGACAAGTGTGCTACTATTTAAGGCACGCTCCCAGTTCTTTTCTTTTTAGTTTGTTTTTCAGATAGTGTGTCAAACTTTTGCCTGGGCTATTGTCAAACCACTATCCTCCTGCTTCTACCTCTTGAATTGCTGGGATTACAGGTATATACCACTGCACCCATCTTGTTTTAAGGTAGGCTGGCATCAAATTGTGATCCTTCTATCTCTGCCTCCTGAAAACCTGGGATTACAGGTATGTACCACCACACCTGGTCTTTTTTTTTTTTTTTGTAAAAATTTTCCTTGTTAAAGGCTCAGCTGTATGGATAAGGGCCTATGGAAATCCTTCTGGGAGTTTAAGGGTATGCATTAAAGCAGGATATGTCAATGTCCCTCCCAGGAGTGATAGTTGGTTAGAATCACATCCAGTGTGTTTGCTTGATATGTTCACTTGGGCCCATGAGATGAATGGATACTGGGGTCTGCAGCAATGTAAAAGTGGGCTGAATCTAGATATATTCATTTTGGACCCTCTGAGGCATAAAATGCTGGCAAGAACTGTTCTAATGCCAATAAGTGAGCCAGAAACTGCAGAAAGCTATGGGGCAGTTTCTGTAGGGGGAAGGCCTGCATACAGTTAGAAAATTGGATTTATGTTGGTAGCTCCTAGTACTTTCATCCTCAGAGTAAAAATCTAATAGAGAATGGAATGAGCAATTGAAATATTTGTGGTATTCAGTGGAAGGAAATACAGGTATGAAGTAATGTCTTACCTTCATGAGTGTATGATCACATTCAGTTCACAGGGTGAGTGGGAAAGGATGCTGGCACAACTGCACTTTTTGTATGAGTATACTTTTTCTTTTCCCCTATGTCATCTCACTTTCCCTTTTCCTATCTAATACCATGGCCCCACAATTGTGAATGCCAGAAGAAGAGATGATCCTTAAGTAAGAAAACTAACTACATTTTTAAACTTTTATGCTAGAATTCCTAAGAGCCTGATTTGGCCTTCATCCCATTTGGCCAAGTTAGGGTTGAAAATGCACTTATATTGCCTATAAATATAAGTTAAGATAGTCCACTAGCTCTTTACCTATGTAATCCTTTCCTATGTAAATATGAATGGACTGAGAGGGAGATGCTTGTTAGTTATTATTACTAATGGCAATTTGAACCAGCACAGTGGTAAAACCTTAACATCCATTTCAAAGATAGAAAAATTTAGGTATAAATGAAGAGGAAGATTGGAAACTGAGAATAGAAAAATGAATGAACAGGTTAAGCAACAAAGGAAATAGAATACTATATTGGTATCTCAAAAGATGCTTACACCAAGAGATGATATTATTTGTTTGCACAACTCTAACAGATGCCTGAAAGGGTGAAGTCATATGTTGTTGAGACAACTCTTACTTTTAATAAGCCTGCACACCTGAGTGGTATTACTCTGGGAGATATTTTGGTCATCTGATATGATGATGAATAATTAATGGTAATGTCAGAGGAAGACTCTGGCAATCCAGTATCTTTTGATTCTTATTTTCTAGGTTGTATTTACATCCCTGCTATGATATGTTATAAAACTACCACTGTTAGTAATATTATAGGGTTGATATTGATAGTAAATGTATTTGAAATTTGAGTTAAAGGCTCCTAAGGATATAATACTAATGGGAAATGACTGGCCTAATGAAGAATTAGAAATTAATTCAGCTAATAGCTATGCTATACAGCTCTACACAAATGTATCATACCATACAAAGAGCAATAGATCAAGGTGGGGAATAGCTAAGTTACTACAAAAAATATGAAAATGTATGTAATACCCTTACAGATGAAATAGTTCTTTCTCTAAATATATCCATGCTCCACAATCTTCTTCCAAATCTTTGGGCATATTCATAACGATAATATTGTTATGTTGGTAATATAACTGCTATCATAAATATAGATGCCCAGACTCTCCTGAAGTAATGTTAATTGTTTTGCTACAAAAAAGCCTTAGTCAAAGACCAGGGGGTAGCTTGTGCAGTTAAGAATTAACATTACTTAGAGAGAGTCTGGTCTTTGCCCTCAGCTCCTGAGAGGTAATATTTATGTCATAAGGATATCATGCTTGATAATAGTATCTTTGTTTGTCAGGGGGATTTAGACACTAGATAATCTAAAAACATGATTTATGATGGGGACTTTGACCTACATGGGTATTGGTTTGGTCTCTGGAAGGTATTGGAGACTAAAGGGTATCAGATCAACTTTTGGGAAGGGATTAGGACTAAAGATTAGCCATGGGAGATACGTGATGAGCTCCAAAAAAATCCCTAAAAATGGACATCAAAAGCTCAGATGAGTTTCTTTGATTTGGCAATATTCCATGTGTATTTCACACACTGATGCCAGGAGAGTAATGTACTCAAGCTTCACAGGGAGAGGACCATGGTAACTCCACACTTGGCAATTTCCCTAGTCTGTCTAGTGCAGTTTTTCTCTTGGCTGATTTAACTGTATCCTTTCCCTTAATAAACTATAACTGTGACTATAACATGTTTCAGTGAGTTCTATGAGACTTTCTAGTGAATTACTTAACTGAAACTGAAGGTTCAAGGAATCTCTTGACATCGCAATTAGTGTCAGAAGTGAGCAGAATCTTGAGAGTGCTCCAACTTTTTGAGTGGCTACTCTCATAGTTGGTTAAAAGTCCTTACTCAATGAGGATAGGTAAGACACCTAAAAAATTAGCTAGCGTTTGTTGCCCTTAATGCAGAGAAACTAAAGCAGATACCTTAAATGCAACTGAGGCCAATAGGAAAAGGGGAACAGGTACTAGAGAAAAGGTTAGATCAAAAAGAATTAACCTACAAGGTAACACCCAGGCACAGGAAATCAATGTGAATCAATACCCTGTATAGCTATCCTTATCTCAACCAGCAAAAACCCTTGTCCCTTCCTGTTGTTGCTTATACTCTCTCTACAACAAAATTAGAAATAAGGGCAAAATAGTTTCTGCTGGGTATTGAGGGGGTGGAGGGGAGAGGAAGGGGGTGGAGTGGGTGGTAAGGGAGGGGGTGGGGGCAGGGGGGAGAAATGAACCAAGCCTTGTATGCACATATGAATAATAAAAGGAAAAAAAAAAAAGTCCTTACTCAAAACCATGTAAATGTCAAGAATGTTTACCTGAGATCCTTTCTTGCTACCTGGTAGGTTAATTACGAGAGTTTTCCCTCTGATTCCACATACAGGTCTGAAAAGAAAGAGAAAGTGAATAAATACTAAATGGCAATGAATGTTTGATAAATTAAACAAAGTCCAATCAGTTTACTGATTCAGGAATAAAATTGTTACAGTAAGAAATTTACCAATTGCTATACAAATTGAGAATTATAGCTGATGTTTTTGTAATAATTGTTAGTGTACTGGATTGGGAAGATACAATGGACATAGAACCAGAATAAATTAGTTACTTTTGAGTTACACGATCATGGCCAGATTACCTTTTTTGTCTAACTTTAGCTTCTTCCTATCTCATGCAAGTTCTACGACTTTAATGAGAGAATGCACAAAATGGTAAAGTATTCAAGAGTTGAGTGAGATTTAAATTTGAGCTTCTGCTTCTCAAGAAGTGTACAAGTTTTAAAGTAAAACAAGGCTTTTCAAAAATGAGGGGAGGGGAACAGGTTAGAAAGTTCAATCATTAACTGGCCCATTGATGATCACAAACATTTTAAGTTAGAAAGGTCTTTGAGGGATCATTGTTAATTTCCAGTTCACATTTAAACCAAATGGTCTGAAAAGAAACACAAAATAGTAAAAAAGCAGTAAAAGATTGAGTCAAAAAAGGCATGGATTTTCATTTGAGAGTTTAATCTGCTATTAATTGACCGTGTTACTTTGATCTGGTAACATTATCTTATTTTATCTTTTCAAAAAGATTATGCTATTTAAAAAATTTTACAACTAAAATTTTTAGTCATACAAGAATATTTTCCCAGGGCTGGAGGCATGGATCAAATGGTAGATAGAGCACTTGCCTAGGAAGTGTAAGGCCGTGAGTCCAAACCCCAGTACTGAAGGAAAAAAAAGGTAATTACCAAGAATATTTTTCCAAATGTTCTTATGATTGAATTTATTCAGCAACTCTCTAATTTTTAAAATAACCTAAAACAGCATTGTATTTCATTGTCTTTTCTTTTTGTCCTATTTATAATCTCAAAGAAAAAGGTGCCAGCACTGATTTAAAACTTTCCATAAGCTAAAAATGATTATCAAGTCATCCTTTGGACATTTTTCTCTTGAATACATTATTTCATTAAAAAAAATTAAGGTTTGTTTTCTGACTTTCAATCTTAGTGCTATTTCTTCAAAATTTGCTTTTATTTCACCAGTCAGACTGGATTAAAAAACTAAGGCGAAAATGTCATTGTGTAATTACATAGTTTTTGATATAATCCTATTTACTTAGAAATTTTGCTTATCTTTTAACTTTTGACTAAGCATTGTATCCCCTATAGAATATAATGCTAATTACTTCAGAACATTTGTAGCACCTTTCTTTGTAAATATTAGAAGTATTCCTATACCAATTATTGAATATTATGCTCTCAACATTTCTTTAGAGTACAGAAGAATTTTCTATAAAATATGGGAAAGTATTTTGAGATACAGAAAATCTGACTGATACATGCTCCTGGGATGTTTGTAATTTTACAAAGTAAGTTCAATCATCTTGTGTTTCTGTAATTTCCTTTGTAAGTATAATGTACCATGAATTTATCCTTACTAACAACAGTATTGTTTCTATGTATACTTTACTTTGATCAAATATTATGGAATTTGGATTTTATTTTCCAAGAAAGTTGTAACTCCCCATCGTAAGGTTAGCTTTAAATGAAAATGCTGTTAATTCTTTTTATTGCAACTTTTTGATTATCTAGCTCAGACCCATTATATCTTCAATTAGTTTTTTCATCTTTTTAGGTTAACACCCTATTAGCTTGTTAACATAACTGACAGTTAAATATTCTGACCACTTTTTCTCTGTGCATGTATGGACCTGTGTGTATGATATGGCAGGTTTTGCTCTATACCCAGGAGAAATATTTATTATTTCTTTTCCATTGCTTTAACTTTTATTTTAACAAGAATAAATCAGTCATTTTTTTATCCTTTGTGAATTCCACAATTTTTAAAAAATGTTTACAAATTAATTTGAAGATGTACCTTTTTCAGTGAAAGAATGTTCAGAGTCATTGCAAGAAAAAACTTTATATAATTTTATAGTTTTACAAGCACCATTCATTGAATAATTTAATTCAAGGTAATAGTGCTTGAAAAGGACCATAGTGTTACCATTTATTAAATTTCTAAAGATTTGCACTAAGCATTATGGGACAAATACAACCTAAATCCTTAAGGAGTTTATAAAAGCAATACAGAACATTAGAGCATATAAACAAATAACTACAATACAAGCTAGTGAGGATAGAATTGGCATAAAGTTACCATGAGTTCAAAATAAAAGTACTTTTGTAGGTGAGGGAGTAAGATAAGACTTTATAGAAGTAGCATTTGAATGGGTTTATAAAGGAAAGTCCTTCAACATCTTAGAAAGGGGAGAGGAAAGTACAAAAAAAGCAACATAGGTATGTGTGTGGGGCATAATACAAAAGCAGAGGAGAGGAAAGCACTGGGAATACAATTTTGAGTGTAATAAGTCTTCCATCTTGTACTTATGGAAGATTAATGTGAAATTAAAAGTACCAGAGGAAAGATGTTGCAGTCTGATAGATCAGTATTTTATTTTATTTTATTTTTCATTTTCTTTTATTGTTCATATGTGCATACAAGGCTTGGTTCATTTCTCCCCCCTGCCCCCACCCCCTCCCTTACCACCCACTCCGCCCCCTCCCTCCCCCCCCCTCAATACCAGCAGAAACTATTTTGCCCTTATTTCTAATTTTGTTGTAGAGAGAGTATAAGCAATAATAGGAAGGAACAAGGGTTTTTGCTGGTTGAGATAAGGATAGCTATACAGGGCGTTGACTCACATTGATTTCCTGTGCGTGGGTGTTACCTTCTAGGTTAGTTCTTTTTGATCTAACCTTCTCTCTAGTACCTGTTCCCCTTTTCCTATTGGCCTCAGTTGCTTTAAGGTATCTGCTTTAGTTTCTCTGCGTTAAGGGCAACAAATGCTAGCTAGTTTTTAGGTGTCTTACCTATCCTCACCCCTCCCTTGTGTGCTCTCGCTTTTATCATGTGCTCATAGTCCAATCCCCTTGTTGTGTTTGCCCTTGATCTAATGTCCACATATGAGGGAGAACATACGATTTTTGGTCTTTTGGCCAGGCTAACCTCACTCAGAATGATGTTCTCCAATTCCATCCATTTACCAGCGAATGATAACATTTCGTTCTTCTTCATGGCTGCATAAAATTCCATTGTGTATAGATACCACATTTTCTTAATCCATTCGTCAGTGTGGGGCATCTTGGCTGTTTCCATAACTTGGCTATTGTGAATAGTGCCGCAATAAACATGGATGTGCAGGTGCCTCTGGAGTAACAGTCTTTTGGGTATATCCCCAAGAGTGGTATTGCTGGATCAAATGGTAGATCGATGTCCAGCTTTTTAAGTAGCCTCCAAATTTTTTTCCAGAGTGGTTGTACTAGTCTACATTCCCACCAACAGTGTAAGAGGGTTCCTTTTTCCCCGCATCCTCGCCAACACCTGTTGTTGGTGGTGTTGCTGATGATGGCTATTCTAACAGGGGTGAGGTGGAATCTTAGTGTGGTTTTAATTTGCATTTCCTTTATTGCTAGAGATGGTGAGCATTTTTTCATGTGTTTTCTGGCCATTTGAATTTCTTCTTTTGAGAAAGTTCTGTTTAGTTCACTTGCCCATTTCTTTATTGGTTCATTAGTTTTGGGAGAATTTAGTTTTTTAAGTTCCCTGTATATTCTGGTTATCAGTCCTTTGTCTGATGTATAGTTGGCAAATATTTTCTCCCACTCTGTGGGTGTTCTCTTCAGTTTAGAGACCATTTCTTTTGATGAACAGAAGCTTTTTAGTTTTATGAGGTCCCATTTATCTATGCTATCTCTTAGTTGCTGTGCTGCTGGGGTTTCATTGAGAAAGTTCTTACCTATACCTACTAACTCCAGAGTATTTCCTACTCTTTCTGTATCAACTTAAGAGTTTGGGGTCTGATATTAAGATCCTTGATCCATTTTGAGTTAATCTTGGTATAGGGTGATATACATGGATCTAGTTTCAGTTTTTTGCAGACTGCTAACCAGTTTTCCCAGCAGTTTTTGTTGAAGAGGCTGCTATTTCTCCATCGTATATTTTTAGCTCCTTTGTCAAAGATAAGTTGCTTATAGTTGTGTGGCTTCATATCTGGGTCCTCTATTCTGTTCCACTGGTCTTCATGTCTGTTTTTGTGCCAGTACCATGCTGTTTTTATTGTTATTGCTTTGTAATATAGTTTGAAGTCAGGTATTGTGATACCTCCTGCATTGTTCTTTTGACTGAGTATTGCCTTGGCTATTCGTGGCCTCTTGTGTTTCCATATAAATTTAACAGTAGATTTTTCAATCTCTTTAATGAATGTCATTGGAATTTTGATGGGAATTGCATTAAACATGTAGATTACTTTGGGAGTATCCACATTTTTACTATGTTGATTCTACCAATCCATGAGCATGGGAGATCTCTCCACTTTCTATAGTCTTCCTCAATCTCTTTCTTCAGAAGTGTATAGTTTTCCTTGTAGAGGTCTTTCACATCTTTTGTTAGGTTTACACCTAGGTATTTGATTTTGTTTGAGGCTATTGTAAATGGAATTGTTTTCATACATTCTTTTTCCGTTTGTTCATTGTTAGTGTATAGAAATGCTAATGATTTTTCTATGTTGATTTTATATCCTGCTACCTTGCTATAGCTATTGATGGTGTCTAGGAGCTTCTGAGTAGAGTTTTTTGGGTCTTTAAGGTATAGGATCATGTCGTCTGCAAATAGGGATATTGTGACAGTTTCTTTACCTATTTGTATTCCTTTTATTCCTTCTTCTTGCCTAATTGCTCTGGCTAGGAATTCCAGCACTATGTTGAATAGGAGTGGAGATAGTGGGCATCCTTGTCTGGTTCCTGATTTTAGAGGGAATGGTTTTAATTTTTCTCCGTTAAGTATAATGCTGGCTGTAGGTTTGTCATATATAGCTTTTATAATGTTGAGGAACTTTCCTTC